CAGCAAGTTTTCAGAGACAGTAAATCACATAAGAGGTGACTGCTCATCCTTTGCCGATAGAGCATCTGGTGGATTCAAATCGTCTATCTGTGGGACTGCAGCACAGCTTCTTAGCACTTAGCCATCAGAGCTTCCCTGTAGGTGATATTAATGATAATGTTTGATAATTTCCAAATTCTGTTCGATCTCCTTTCTTGGGAATGGGAACAAATGCAAATTGCCTCAACTCAGTTCAAGTAGCGATCTTCCAAATTTCCTGGCACAGATCCTGTCCAGGGCTACATCTCTTAGTTGAAATATGTCAACTGGTATCACATCAATTTCTGGGGCCTTCTTTTTTGCCAGTGTTTTCAATACAGCTTGAACTTCTTCCCTTTTTACCATTGGCTCTTTACCATATGCTACTTCTTTAATTTCTGCATCAACCTATTCTTTTTGGTATAGTGACTCTGTGTAGTTTATCATCTTCTGATGCTTCCTGAATCATTCGAGATTTTGCCCATAGTATCTCTCAGTTCTGCGACTCAAGGCTTGACTTTGGTTTTTACTTCTTTCAACTTGAGAAATGCCAAGGAAGTTCTCCCATTTTATTTTCCAACTCCAGCTCCTTGCACATTCTGTTGTAATACTTAGTGCTTTGTCTTCTCAAGCCATCTTCTGAAATCTTCCATCCATTTATTTTGGCATCTCTTCCCTATGTTTTGGCTTCTTAATGCTCTAGTGTGATTTTCAGACCCTCTTCTAACATCTGTTTTGGACTTTTCTTTCTCCTCTTTCTAACAACATTTTCCTCTCTTCATAATGATATTTTTGAGGTCATCCCACAAACAGAGCTTTAGGGAGATTAAAATAGAAACATTATCCCCAAAAGCAGGCCTAAACGTTGTTAGGTCACATCAAATGGACTATGATCCTCATAGAGACCCTCCCCTGTACCATCTCACCATCTCTGCCACGCTTGAGTCCACTGTCACAGTAGTTGTGTCGGTCCATCTTGTTCAGGGTCATTCTCTTTGGCTGACCTTTCCGGCAGAATGTCTTTTTCTCAGGATAAGCCCCTCCTGCTAACATGCCCAAGTATGTGAGATAAAGTTCCACCGTCCTTACCTATTAGGAGCACCCTCGCTGCACAACCTCCTAGACAGATTTG